ACTGGTTCCAATCTAGAACCTTAATCTGAACACTCACTGTCATTCATAACACTCCCCAATCCCACCCCTACCCTGTGGGAAGGGCTGGGGCTGAAAACTCGAGGTCTGCGATGTATTCTGGGGGTGCGGCCAAGTTCTGCATTCCTGGAAACTGGGACTGGCTTGGAGAAAAACAAAAATAAATCCTATGAAGTATGCTTCAGTTGGTGCTACTGCTGAAAATAGTCCCTGAGGACTAAGACGAAGGTCAGGAGAGAGTAGTGGGAATGGTGTCAGGCGAGGGGACCAGAAATGTGGCTGGAGATGGCCCTGAGTGGAAGGCCAGTGACAGTCAGCAGGGAGCGCTTAGGAGGCCCTGGGCAGATGGAGGAGGGAAGAGAGAGGGGGGCAAAGGCTCCAGCTGGAAGGCCAAGGTTGTTGTTCATTCATTCCTTTGTTCAGCAACTATTTGTTGAGCACCTACTAGGTGGCAGGCCCTTTGCTGGGCACCGGGGAGATAGCAGTGGACAGAACCACGTACCCGCCTGTGTGGAGCTCGCATTCAGATTGCGGAGATAGACAGGAAACACGCTAACAGAGATGTTAGGGGAGCGTAGGAAAGAAGGACAAATAAGGCAAGGGGAGCAGACAGCAAGGGACAAAGACTTTATATAGAGTGGCCTGGGAAGGCCTTTCTGGGGAGCTGGCATTTGAACAAACCTCAAAAGACAAGAGGAAGGGAGCCCTGCAAGTATGGAGGGACTTTGTCCAGTTAGAGGAAATAGTAGGAGCAGCAGCCCCAAGGTGGGAGCAGGGGACACGTGGAGCTGCACACAGCAAGCCGGGCCAGAGCAAAGCGGGGTGAGGCCAGAGAAAGCAGCCAGGCTGCCCACCAAGGCTCACTTGGGTTCCTAGGTCAGAGATCCCGAGAAGAGGGGAGAGGCCCTCATGCCCAAGTGGTGGGAAGGGGTGGAGGAGAATGGGGAGGAAATGGGAGTGAGGCCACCCCAGGTAAGGTCAGCTGCGACCTCTGGGTTAGCATGATGCCAGAAGAGAAGACAGGGCCTGCAGGGCCTCTCCCCCATCCACAGCCCTGGGTGCACATGCCACGAGCTCCTGCTCACTCCACCTCACGTCCCCACACTCGCGCATGAACAACACACGCACAGAAAATAGGCACAGGCTCAGCTTTCACTTGCATGCACATAGAAATTGTGTGTGAACACACGCATGCACACGGGCCCCTCGTGTCAATGGAGACATTTTTGAGAATTCTAGACAGGCAGAATATAAAGGCCAAAGGACTTTAGACCAACTCTCACATATGACAGAGGCAGTAAGGCCTAGAAAAAGGAAGCCTCATAATTTGGTGAGCTAGGCAGATTGCTCTATGTCCCCCCCATGTATGTGCGTGTTGTGCATGCACACACACACACACACACACACACACACGCAGTCCCACCAGCTGGCCAAAGCTCCTTCCATAACCCTATCTTCTCAACAGCCTCTGCCTCCCAGGACACCCACAGGCTTAACCAAGTCCCACCAGGAGTGCACCGAGCTTCCTCCCAGCTACTCCAGCAGGCTGCTGGGGGGAACGCAGTGTCGGGACCAAGACAGACTCTGCCCCTCTTGGTGGGATGGCAACAGCTCACAACCACAGCTGACCACAGCAGCCCCCGACTGCCTCTCTCCTCTCAGAGCCTGTTTCCGGGTCCAACAGACCTTCTTCCTCCATCTCTCTTTCTGGGTGTTTCTCCCTTGCTTCCTTTCTCTACCTCCGGAAAGGAGGCCGTGATGCAGTTTTTCCCTCTCTTTCTCCTGGTATCTTTCTCATTACTCTGTTTCTCTCCAGTTCTCTGTCTCTGCTGGGCTTATCCCTCTCACTCCATTTTCTCATCAGGATCTTTTTTTGCCTTCCAGGAAAAGCTGACGTGGCGCCCCTGGTCAGCGGGAGTGAGGCCTTCTGGGGTGGGGGAGTCCCGCTCGAGCTGGGGTGCGGCTGGAGCCCTGGTTGGGGGCAGCAGAAGCAGGAGCGGAGTGAGAGGCAGCGGAATGGGAGGAGAGAGGGCTGGGCCTCCGCGGGCAGGAAGGGGAGCAGGGGGAAAGAAAAACTGTGGGAGGAAGTGAGCCCCCCTCCCCTGCTAGGGTGACCAACTGTACTGGTTTGCTGAGACTGTCTGGATTTGAGCATGGAAAGTCCCATGTCCCAGAAAATCCATCAGTTCCAGGTGAACCAGGACTGCTGGCTGGTCACCCTATAAACTGCCAGGGACCCACAGGAGACAGGGCCAGGACTCACAGGAGGGGCTTCCAAGCTTGGCCTCCTAGTTCTGGGGACAGTCAGGGCCCCACGTACTCACCAAGGGTCCCCATCTCAGGCCTGAACCCAATTTAGAGGAGGCCAGGAGAGGGGAGATGGCAGCCCCTACAGCCCACAGGAAGCTCCCAGGTGGAAAAGATGAGGAAGCCCAACTTCTGGCTTGTCTCCCAGTCTGCTGGCATGATCTCCCGTGAGGTGGGCTTTACAGAAAAAACTTGAGCTATGACAGCAAGAGACGGCAGAGGGGCAACCCGGGAGATCATACACCCCATCCTCAGAGGCCTGCACAACTGCTCCTGGGCTCTGCAGAAGGGTAGGCCCACCTGTCCCACTGGGAGACACCTTGGAGAGTCAGTGGTCCTTAGCTGAGATCCTGCCGGCCCTACTGTCCTTCCTGGTGGAAGCGGGCACTGCCACACCTTGTAGGCAGCGGCAGGACCTGAGCAGACTAGGAAGATACATCAGTGACCAGCACGCACAGTCTCATGTCTGCCCAGGTGGGCTGGTCCCTCTCACTTTTTCTGCCCTCAGCCCCCCACATCTGTTCTAAGGTGGGAGTCTGAGCTTAGAATTTGGCTGTCATTAAGGTTCTAGGTAGGGAATGAGGGGACAGACTCCCTGCCCCCAGAAGGCTGCTGACATACTCACCCATCCAACAGAGCATGGGTCTCCTACACTGTATGAAATATTCTCTATATGCCCCTTCCCTAGCCTGGGCCCAAAGGCCCTATCTGTAAGATGACGAGGAGGTGAAGTGGGTGAGCTCTAAAATGCTTCATTCTGATGACCACCCAACTTGTCCATCATGCTGTGAAGGGGACGCTTACTGAGTGTCTTCCTAGTGCCGGAGATCAATAGCACCTGGGAAGGTAAGGCCTCTGCCCTCAGTGGGCTTCCTCTCTAGTAAGGGGTCGCACATTAAACACACATGAATAAATAATCACAGCTTATAGGAAGAACTATGAAGAAAAGTCAGGAATGTCCGCGAGAACAGTCACTGGGAACTGAGGGCTGCGGAGATGCTTGCACTCTGACCCTGGTGTGCTTGGAAGGAGGGAGATGGGGTAGGAACTGTGAACTCCTCAGAGCACCCTGGAGGTGAAGCTGCTGGCATAGACTTTATGCAGGTGAGGGTGTGTGTATGGGCTGTGCAGAACACACTGAAGCCCCCTCCACCAGGAAGCCCTCCCTGACTGACACAGGTCACTGAAACTCCCCTCTGGTTTACTGAACCCTGGATGTGTATTCTTGCAGCCTCTGGTTGATCCACCAAACTCAGGACTTTCCTAGAAATTTTCCAGCACAGTGAGGATGATGCAACAGAGGCCTTCCTCTGCAGGGGAAAGAAAGGGGACTCTCCACTAGACCATAATAATATCCTCAACATCATACTGGGGTGTTTTGCAGGCAGCATGCTGGGGACTTCTGTGGCCTTGCCTGGTGACAGGGAATGGGGCGTGATGAGCTGGAGCAGGCTTCCTGGGGATGCTTTCAGCCAAAGATGATCCCTGTCTGCCCTTGGCCCTGCTGAGAGGGTAAGTTGAGTCGTGAGCAGAATTCAGCCAGTTATCAGATGGAAGGCTAAGGAAGCTTGGGGAAGGCTACTGAGGGGATACAGTAGGCTTGTTCTGTGGAGGGGAAATTCTTCAGTCTACAGAGTTCTTTTCTGGGGCTCCTTCATCTTTTGGTTTCTCTTTCAGCTCCCTTGTTTTGGGCCTCTTTTGTTTCCCCATTCCCCAACCCTGGGCCTTCCTGTTTGGAAAAGGGGTCAAATATCTTCACCCTGGAGGCGTCTGCCCCTTCCACACAGTTGGTGTTGTAACAGTGGAGCTCAGAGAGGCCGAAGCTGACCACATAGATGTCCAGCGCCAACAGTGGGATTTTGGGCCCTGTGGGGGACACAGAGAAACTCTCCAGGAGTGCGGCCCCTTGGCCTCCCCTCTGGGTGCCCGGTGGGCAGTGGGCCTGGGTGGCTCAGAATCCTGGCCAGGAGCACTGAAGGCCAACAGGCTCCCGCCCTGAGCCTTCTGAGCCAGGATTCCTTCTCTCCTCCCCAACCAGTGGGGAGTGCAGTGAGGGGCGGGGCCTGGAGCCTTGGGAGCTCCCTGGACAACAACATGCATTTAGCGCAGCTCAGTCTCGGAGCCAGTAGGATATGTTTTCTTAAAAGAAAAAAAAAAAAACAAAACACGCCTAACATCTTGGCTTTCACTGAAGGGTTGGTATCTGCTTTGTACACTTTGGCCTTCTTGGCTTTTCACTGAGACACAAACACATGGATGCACACTCACTTCCACACACAAACCCACACCAAGCCAGACACACCCATACAAACACACACCAAGATGTACACACACACACTCACACACAAATTAATGTACGTGGTTTCATACCCACATCCACACAAACACACAAAGTCAGGCACACACAGAAATACGCACCCTCACACCCACAAACTTGTACACACACACACACACATACACACACCAACACACACAACCCTGGCTTGGACAAAGGCTTCCCCTTTTTCCTTGTTTGCAGTGGGAGTTTCCCACCTTCCATGAGATTCAATTTCTCGCCCTTCCCCCGCTAAAATCCTCCTGGCCCCATCATTTCTTGGGTCCTTTCCAGACAGTGCTGTGTCTTTAAGGAAGTTGAAGCTGCTAAAAGTGAGTGAGAGAGAGAGAAAACACAACCCAAAAAAATTTGGCATCTCTTCCCCCCTCAAGTTTCTGGTGTCACTTATGAAACACGGGTCCTGTTGCTGCAGAGCAGTTGTTTTGCTGGAAGGAGGGAGTGCGCGGGCTGCCCCGGGCTCCTCCCTGCCGCCTCCTCTCAGTGGATGGTCCCAGGCACCCTGTCTGGGGCAAGGGAGGGCACGGGCCTGCACATTGAAGGTGGGGTGGGACCAGGCTGTTCCTCGTCCCAGCATCCAGGTCCTCCCTTGGGCGCCCGTGGCCCTGCAGACTCTCAGGGCTAACGTCCCCTGTTGCCTTTTGGTCCCACCTTAGAAGAAGCTCCGCTTGACTAAGAGTAGCTTGAAGGTAAGCCAGTGGGGAGGAGGGCTCCAGGGCCAGCGGCGGGAAGGGGAGGCCTGTTGGACATAGGGGCTGGTTCCCTCTTGGTCCATCCCTGCTGCTCTGAGGTGCATCGGACAATCCTTAGCTTGGAGCCGTCCCGGGGGCATCTGCTGCTTCCACAACCCACAACTGAGGCCCCACAAATCCCAGCTGCGTTTGGGCTGAGCCCCTGGCCTCACCCCAGTCAGCTGAGAGGTCCTGGCGGGGGTTTATTTGGGCAGCTGCCTGGCTAAGTTTGAACAGAATAGGCCACGGGTGTGATTCCACAGAAAAGGCCTGGTGTCTGCTGCGGTCACGGCCGGAGGAGCGGGAGGGGGTGGGTGGAGTGGATGGGGGTGGTGTGCACTGCACAAGGGGCCTTGTCTGGGCCAGGGCAAAGCATACCTATGGGGGACTCCGGTGGGAGGGACTGCGGCCAGGATGTGGGAGGGCAGGGGGAGGTTCTGCAAAGTGCTGGGGGAGGGGGGTGGCTGGAAAACAGATTTCGAGTCATAAAGTCAGCTAGGAACAGGCCGAGGCAGGGAGAACTCTCCACTCGGAGGAGGAGCTGGGGTCCTCTTCCATCCTGTCTTCATCCTGCCTGGCTGCGTGACCTCGGGCAAGTCTCTGCCCTTCTCTGGGCCTCAGTTTCTCCTTCCGTAGGATGGGGGCGGTGGGCTAGGTGGTGTTGGACTTTAGCTGGGTTATGTGGGACAGGGCATCCTGATGGGAAAGAGCTCTGGCTGGGCTTGTGGGAGGAATGAGTCCCTCTGGCGGGTTCTCAGGATCCCCTGGGTGACATGCCCTTCTCTGCAGGAGGCACCATGCAGGAGCTGCATCTGCTCTGGTGGGCGGTTCTCCTGGGCCTGGCACAGGCCTGCCCTGAGCCCTGCGACTGTGGGGAAAAGTATGGCTTCCAGATCGCCGACTGTGCCTACCGCGACCTGGAGGCCGTGCCGCCTGGCTTCCCTGCCAATGTGACTACACTGAGCCTGTCGGCCAACCGGCTGCCAGGCTTGCCAGAGGGTGCCTTCAGGGAGGTGCCCCTGCTGCAGTCGCTGTGGCTGGCACATAATGAGATCCGCACGGTGGCCGCCGGCGCCCTGGCCTCTCTGAGCCATCTCAAGAGCCTGGACCTCAGCCACAATCTCATCTCTGACTTTGCCTGGAGCGACCTGCACAACCTCAGTGCCCTCCAATTGCTCAAGATGGACAGCAACGAGCTGACCTTCATCCCCCGCGACGCCTTCCGCAGCCTCCGTGCTCTGCGCTCGCTGCAACTCAACCACAACCGCTTGCACACATTGGCCGAGGGCACCTTCGCCCCGCTCACTGCGCTGTCCCACCTGCAGATCAACGACAACCCCTTCGACTGCACCTGTGGCATCGTGTGGCTCAAGACATGGGCCCTGGCCACAGCAGTGTCCATCCCGGAGCAGGACAACATCGCCTGCACCTCACCCCATGTGCTCAAGGGCACACCGCTGAGCCGCCTGCCACCACTGCCATGCTCGGCGCCCTCAGTGCAGCTTAGCTACCAACCCAGCCAGGATGGTGCCGAGCTGCGGCCTGGCTTCGTGCTGGCGCTGCACTGTGATGTGGATGGGCAGCCGGCCCCTCAGCTTCACTGGCACATCCAGATACCCAGCGGCATTGTGGAGATCACCAGCCCCAATGTGGGCACTGACGGGCGTGCCCTGCCCAGCACCCCTGCGGCCAGCTCACAGCCGCGTTTCCAGGCCTTTGCCAATGGCAGCCTGCTTATCCCCGACTTTGGCAAGCTGGAGGAAGGCACCTACAGCTGCCTGGCCACCAATGAGCTGGGCAGTGCTGAGAGCTCAGTGGATGTGGCACTGGCCACACCCGGCGAGGGTGGTGAGGACACACTAGGTCGCAGGTTCCATGGCAAAGCGGTTGAGGGAAAGGGCTGCTATACGGTTGACAATGAGGTGCAGCCATCAGGGCCAGAGGACAATGTGGTCATCATCTACCTCAGCCGTGCTGGGAACCCTGAGGCTGCAGTCGCAGAAGGGGTCCCTGGGCAGCTGCCCCCAGGCCTGCTCCTGCTGGGCCAAAGCCTCCTCCTCCTCCTCTTCCTCACCTCCTTCTAGCCCCACCCCGACCAAGGCTGGGCTGAAGCAGCCCGAGGGCTTTCCTAACTCCTCCCCTTGCACCTGCCAATGCCCCTTTAAGTGCTGCAGGGGTCTGGGTTTGGCAACTCCTGAGGCCTGCATGGGGGACTTCACGTTTTCCTACCTCTCCTTCTAATCTCTTCTAGAGCACCTGCTACCCCCAACTTCTAGACCTGCTCCAAACTAGTGACTAGGATAGAATTTGATCCCCTAACTCACTGTCTGCGGTGCTCATTGCTGCTAACAGCATTGCCCGGGCTCTCCTCTCAGGGGCAGCATGCTAACAGGGTGATGCCCTAATCCAACTGGGAGAAGCCTCAGTGGTGCAATTCCAAGCACTGTGACTGTCAAGCTGGCCAGGGCTAGGATTGGGGGAATGAAGCTGGGGTTTGGCTGGGGGGTGGTCTGAAGCAGACAGGGAATGGGAGAGGAGGATGGAATGTAGACAGTGGCTAGTATGGCTCTGAGGCTCCCCGGGGCCTGCTCAATCTCCTGCTCCTTGGTGTTTTCTGATGACTTGGGAGATTGGGAGTCCCTTTGTCCTCATCTGAGACTGAAATGTGGGGATCCAAGATGGCTTTCCATCCTCTTACCCTTCCTCCCTCAGCCTGCACCCTCTATCCTGGAACCTGTCCTCCCTTTCTCCCCAACTGTGCATCTGTTGCCTGCTCCTCTGCAAAGGCCAGCCAGCTTGGGAGCAGCAGAGAAATAAATAGCATTTCTGATGCCCCTCCATGTCTGCCTGGAATTTTGTCTGGATCTAGGAGCCCCTACTGGGAGATAGAATCAGGAGCTGAAGAGTCAGGGCAGCCAGCCTGCCTGCCCACAGTGGCAGGGGCCTCTGGGACCCCAACAGACTGTGGAGGCACAGGAGGGCTGACCCGGTGCTTGTGTCAGGGGCTGGGCCTTGCAGTGAGCTGAGCTGCAGATAGTCCCTTCCTCCAAACCATCCCACAGGACAGGTGGGGGCAGAAGCCTGGGGTGGCTGGCTACCCTGAGCAGCGCCTGATGTCAGCAGTGGCTTCAAGAGAGGCATTTGGAAAGGCGCAAGGAAATGGAGGTGCCTGGGTGGTAGTTCCTCTTCCCTGTCCTGCTCCTGGAAGAGATGTTAGGAATGAAGAGGAAAGAGGGGACAGGTGGGGCAAGATGGAGGAGACAGATGAGGAACAGGGGACACAAGACAGAGGAGGAGAAAACCCCAGAGAGACTGGGAACAAGAGAACATATTTGAGGGAGAAGCCAGGGGAAATGAATCGTACTTATCCTTCCCCCAAAGAAGAAATGGTAAGTCCAAATGAGGACTGCAGATTCCCTGTAGGAATCTTTCCCCACGGAGCAGGTGGATCAGTAACTGGCCTGGGCCGTGTGTGTGTGTGTGTGTGTGTGTGCGCGCGCGCGCACGCGTACAGCAACCTTCAGCCTCTCCAGATGAGGAGCATAAGGATGAGGTCCTAACCTGGAGACTCTGCACAACCTCCTATCTGTGCCAGGTAGGAGATATGTCTTCCTACTGCCTCTATCCTATCCCTTTCAAGACCGAGGATGCTGCGTGCAGAGACAATGGCCCAGAGGGAGAGGCTCTGTGGCCTCTGTCCAGTGCTCCCAGAACTGCTGAGCTCAGCAAAGTGGAGGCAGGAGGCTAAGGAGTCTGGGGTAGCAGCTGTGAGCTTTGGCTGCTGGCCAGCCCCCTTCCCTCCCTCCTGGTCCACATACAGCACCTCCCCCTGCCCACTCTCCCCTCATCCACTTGCAGCTCCTGCTGAGCTGATGTCACCAGCAGCATGTATCAAGAATGACTCCTAATCTAAAATAAAAGTTGAAAAAAAAATGACTCATGTCTGGTGGAAAACAGCAGGATGGAGCCAAATTCCATGTGCTGGGCCACCTTGGGTAAGTCATTGCCCTCGTCTGGGCTTCAGTTGCCTCAAAAACCAAATGATGTGGTGGGACTGGGTGCTGCCTCACGGTCCAATAGACTCTGATTGCCTAAGGCTTGATATTCCCAGCCTGACTTGGGCATCCCTGGCTCCATTCCCAGCTGAGCGGCTTGGCTTCTTGGAGTAGGACCTGGACCTAAGACCTGGGTCAGAGGCAGCACAGGGAATGGCTGTGCCTTGAGTGGACTAGCTACTCCCCTGCTTTAAGGTCTTCCGTGGCCCCCACTGCCCTCCAGGTGAAGCCTGAATTCCCCACTTAGAGCCTCTCTGACCCGATCCTCCAACAAGCCCACCCTTTCTGCCTCTTCTTGGAACAGCTATTTAATTGTTCCCTTAATGCTCCATGGTGTGCCATCCTTTGCACCTTTGCTTACACTGTTCCCTCCACCCAGGCACCCTTTCCCTGTTCTTCATTTGGCTAAATCAGTCTTTGAGAGTTGACTCTGGCATCACCACCTCCAGAAAGCCTGCCTTCCTGGATGTTCCCCCATCCCCAATGTAGACAGGGCCCCCTTCTCTGGGAACCTGGATTCTCCCCGCCGAGACCCTGTCAGTTGCTGAAACAAGGTCAGGAAGCCTCTTTCAATGGGCTGCAGTGGGATCGCAGCGTGCCCTCTTTGGCCTCCTCAGGACAACCTTGAAAGTGGGTTTCAGGTCCCTGACCCCACCCCTGGCTTTATAGGTATTTGAGGCTGTAGCAGGAACCTGGGCGTGGGGCAGGGGACTGTTGATCTCCACTAACTGTGCAGGCATTTCTCAAGGCCCTGCAGACCTAGATCTGTAGGGTAGCCACATCTTCCTACCTTCTGTAGCCCCCAGCCCCTCAGTGGACCCAGGGCATCTTCCTTATTCATATACCCCACCCCCTTCTCCACCAAGCCCCCAGCAGGGAAAAGACCCTAGTCTGTCTCCACCCTCCTTTCCCCTCCGTATTCTCATTCTACTCCCATCAGGACAGCCCACGCTCTGTCCCCCCATGTGACACGCCCCCTCCCACCTCCACACCTGGAGTCACACTGCTTCCCCAGCGTTCCTGAAGTCGCTTCTCCTCCCCAGATCCTGCCCTTTCTTCAAGACCCAGAACAAGTCCCACTTCCAAAGCCAGCATCCACATGGCTCAGGGGTGGCATCACAGGGTCCCCAGTCTCTTTGCCACCCAAAGGGATGCAGCTCTGGGTTCTCTTTGCCTTCCACCCAGTGTCTGGCCAGCATGTGACCAGAACACCTCAAGCCCCATCCCCATCAATGCACAGTGTGGATGTGCTGACAGCGTAGGCGGGGTTTTCCCTGCATACCCCTCCCGCTATGAGGACAGTTTCTCAGGAACAAGTTTATTGCAGGGAACACACTAACCTCTTTCATAATAGCCAAAGGCATAAAAACTACAAAAATATCTGGCTCTCAAGTGTGGGCAGCTCGGTGTGGGACCTGGTCTGAGTCGTGACTTGGGCTGCCCTTCAGGCCAGCAGCCTGGGAGCCTTCCAGCCACTCCCCAGAGAGGTCTGTGGAGCTGAGGGGTGAGGAAGTGCCTCAGCTGCTTCCACAGCATGAAGGCCAAGGCTGAGGTGGAGCTGAACTGGAGTGGTTCCAGAGAAGGCTTCATCGAGGCCCTTCAAGGCTGGTGGCAGAGCCAGGGTAGGGAGAGGCCTGGATGTGGCCGCCCTGGCTCGACTGGCTCCTGGACCAAGGCCCTAACCCGCCAGTTTCTTTCTTCAAAACCCCTGCTGGCTCTCCCATGGCCAGGTGGGCGGAGCAGAGCTCTCCTGAGGCTCCCAGTGCACACAGACCTCCACCCAACCATGGTGATCCAGAGGACCTGCCGGCTGCATGGCTGGGGTGATGCTGGGAGAGCCGGGGAGGGAGGAGGATGGTAGGCAGGAACGTGCCTCAACACAGATGGGCAGGTGGGCTGGCCTTCCCTGCCCTCAGGACTGGGCACCATTGGCACCCAACAGGGCCGTCTTGCGGAAGACCTGCAGGGTTGGGTTGTGCAGCAGCGTGTAGGCCAGACCCCAGCGAGCCCTGCAGCGGCTGGCCCTGGGCCTTGCTCCCTTGGCCATGGAGTCCTTTGTCTGTAACAGCTGCATCCCTGAGAGAGACGGACTTTCTGTGAGTCACTCAACAAACACCCAGTCAAACCTCCCTGGCCCTCAGACCTGAGCAGAGAGCCTGAAAATCCCAGGCGTAGTGCAGGTGGTGAGGCTTAGGATGTCCCCTGCAGGCAGCACATGGAAGTGGGGTGTGAGGTCTGTGGATGGACTGGAAGCTGGGTGGGACAAGGGTCTGGAGCTGGCTTAGTGTCCCCTCGCTATACATACTTCTGGGCAGAAAGAAAGGAAGAGGTCATACTCCCTGCCCCAAGGGAGAAGTGGGGGCAATGAGGGAGCCCCTTCGCAAGACAGCTGTTTCATTCTCTCTTTGTGTACACATATGGTGTGTGTATGTGTGTGTTCATATCATGGAAAAAATTACCCTGAGATCAGACCAGGAGGGGTGACCAAAGGCAGCCAAAGAAGAGAGGAAGTGAGAATTTTCCTGGCGCTCACTCTGTGTGCTGGGGAGGGGCACGCATCCTTCCTGGGAGAAGCTGGGTAGGCTCTATTCCCCCATTCCCAGTGGGAGGGCGCACCTTCGTCTTCCTCCCCTGGTCTGAGGCTGTCCTTGGGGGCCACCATGGTCCTGGGTAGGAGGCTCCGCGCTTGCAGGAGCAGGAAGCAGAAGGCTGTCATGGCTGGATGCGACTGGCTGACCTCAATCTTCAAGAAGTTTCGGTACGTGTAGTAGCCTAGGGTGGGGTGGCGGATGGCAATGCTGGGGGAGTAGGGGCCGGACTAGAGGCATCCAGACACCCCCTAACACACACACAGGGAGTGCACGTGCACACCCTGCATCCAAGCATGTAGACACACCAGGCACGTGGCACATCTGCTGCATGGGCACATGTGGACCTGCTAGAACACCCCACATCCACTGCACATGCTGCAGGGCCACACGAGGCACAGTGCAGGCACACACAGGTGGCATCTGCAGCTACAGACATCGGTGT